GCAAGTGCCTGTCCCTCTATACAGGTCTTTCTTCTAACCCTTCCAGCTCCCAGCATTAATTACAACCCTTGCCACCGTCCAGGTTCCCAGGTGCACAGCCAGCCGGAGCAAACTTTTCCTTCAGCCTCAAAGACGTCCCATGGGCCACAGGGCACCTGGGAAAAAAGGCTGAGCACCAGCTGCTCTGTATAAAACACACAGAAGTATTAACTATCAGAGCAACAAAGGTGCTGTTTTTCACTGAGCATGGTAAGTGCAATCGTTCTTGTTACAGAAACCTTTCTTGGAGACCTCCATGGTAACACTGATTCTACTAAGAAAATCACACTCAGTATTTTAGTAAAAGTGATTTTTTTCCCAATGTTGTAATGAACATAACTTCAAAGAAGTGTTAGTCTATACAGTTATGATGATGTGTATTTTAAATATCTAGCGTGCTATCTTGACATTTCTATGTGGTATTTTTTTGTGTTGATTTTTGTAAACTGGTTTTAAAATGACTCATAAATGTGAGGAAAAAGACTGCAAATCAATGAACTACAATAAAACAATGGTAAACTATCTCCTGTTCTCACAAAAAATCAAAACAGCAAGTCTAGAAACATATTCTGGGGCCAGGGATTTAGTTTAGCAGCAAGTGCCTGCCTGGCAAATGTGAGGTCATCAATTCGATTCCCAGTACCAAAAAAAAAAAAAAAAAAAAAAAAATGTTCTGACCCAATTTACTATTTAATTAGAATCCTTACCCTTTCAAAGAAGTCAGCAGTCAAAAATTACCAATTCAAATGATGAAACTGTAATATGAAACTGGACTTCAGGATTCACAGTGAGGACACTGTAGAAGAGTTTAAAGTATACAACAGTGTCTCCTGTTACTGACATGTGTATGTTCATGGAGTTCAGACTGATAGTTCGGTATGTGAATGAATGTGTAATGCCCAACTCTGTCTCCCTGAACATTCCAGTTCTTACAGCATATGCCTTTACTGTGCAAGTATGCAATGGTTCCTTAAACCCACTGATTTAGACCACACAGGGTGGTAAACATAATAATGCATTCTTGCATATTAGGAAACACAGACCAAAGGCCCACATTAGAAAATTGCTTCTAAGCCTCCACTTTGTGACTTCTTCACTCCGCTGCTACTCCAAACAGTGTCTGTGCCGAACTCAAAGCTCCTTCCCTTCCTTACACCCTCTGTCAGTTAGCTAAGTGCACACACTGACAGCACCACGGCCTCAACAGCACTCGGCAGAGTGCACGGCCCACAGCCTGCTGTGTGGATCTGCTTGGCCCGGTGTGGAAACCCGCTGACTCACACTTGTACACATGTGTGCAGCGCACACGTGCTCCAACCCAGCCATCTGTGCTTCCAAATCAGCTCTGCTCACCACCTTTGTGTGGACACAAACCAAAGTGATTTTAAATAAGCCTTTTTAAAAAACCACTATATAGGGGCTGGGGATTTAGCTCAGCGGCATAAGCGTCTGCCTTGCAAGCAGGCAGTCCTGAGTTTGATCCCTGGTACCAATAAAAACAAAAAAGACAAAAAACAAAATAAAAACCACTATATATAAACTGATCCTACTTTAAGGATATAAACTGTTGTCTTACATAAGACTTTAGCTCTTTGGGCAACATAATACATAATAACATAAAATACAAGGCGTGATCGAACTATATGATGAACAATTAAACTCCAAGAACTACAGCAAAAGACATAATGCAAAGAACAAGGGGGAAAGTGTGTTCAAAGCCAAGTGTTTTGAGGCAATGAATGGCAACGTGTCTTCTGCAGTTTGCTTTTTATACTCACTGCATCTCTGATTACACCTTGTATGCTACATTACTGCTACTTGTACAAATATCAATAGCTAAAAACTTGAGACATTCAACAGATTTACAGTAAAACTCAGGAAAATAACACTTACATCACTAAAACTGCTGAAAGTAGAGAACAGGAAGCTGTCATTCATCCCCTGATGGTCATGTAAGATTTCACAGGCTCTGTGACATAAATCTCCGCAAGGAACAATATTCATGTTTGCACAGCTCAAGTAAAAGTGTATCACCAAGACAACCCTCGCCTAGCTAAAAAGATAACAGAAGTAAAAAATAATCATAATACAAAGGAAAGTGTAAAATGCTATCTTAAATGCCAACTATGGACAACAGAGCTAATGAATCTGGAAGCCAAATGGACAGACTTTCTGCAATGTATTATCTGGTAAAATCAGGTGTCAAAATAATTTCATGAAAATTAGCTAAAAACATGAAAACACTGAAGATGCTGTGCCTGAAACAAACTGTGAGGGGAAAACAGGCTGCACTGCACTGCGAGGGGAAGGCTCCCTTTACTCACCTCGCCGCCCGTGTGATCGATAAAAATGTGGCAAGTAAGACAGAGCACCTGGGAGCCAAGCCCAGCAGTGCACATTGTGCTCCCAGCACTCAGGAGGCTCAAACTGGAGGATCACCTCCAGTTAGAGAAAAGCCCACCACCGAGTGGGCTCCAGGTCAGCCTGAAATACACGGCAAGACCCTGCCGGAAGCCAGAAGTGGCCCTGGCCGACAGTGGCATCTAACTCCAGAGGAGCTCAGTATTTTCTAGACAAAGAAATATCTATGAATTACAAATGTCAACTTTCAGCACAGATCTCAGGACTATTCCCAGGGCAACAGCCCCAGGAAACAAACAGCTGGGCAGTGCGAATGTGACCCCTGGCAGTGTGCAGGAACAGCCTATATATAGTGCTGGCCTGTCACTCAGCCTGAAATACCAATGGAGTCCCTTTGCAGGGTGAAGCTCTGACTCACAAGCACTTGACGTCCAGCCAGCCCAAGAGGGACCTACTTCATCTTTTAAAATAACCAGACACAGAGCCCAGCATGCTCATGGGCCAGTCTGAACTGTGGTCCTCTGCTGGAAACAGCAGCTCTCCGAACCCTAAGCTCCCCCAGAAGCCCCACAGGCACCATACCACGAAGGTGCTGAAGCCATACCCTGGGGCTTCCCTGCCATGCGCAGACTCCAACCACACTCGCACAGCATGACCCACGTTATAGACTAAATCAGGCCTCGTCATCCTTTATTAAGTGCACAAGGTTCAAATGACTGGTCCTTGAATGGGCACAGAAAGCTACACCGAGTAACCCTTCATAAGGAATTGTGGCATCAGGCGGCGACGTGCATGCATGCACACATTCTGTCACTCGGGTAAGGCACTGAATTATACGTAAAGTATGATTTTATGCACAGAGGCCACATACAGAAGGCTGGGGAAAAAACACTAGAATATTTAAAATTGATCATTGTTCAATGAGAGGACTTTTAGCTGTTTTTCCTTTTATCCTCGAAAATGTATATAGTAATCATTATTACTTTATGTGCCAAAATTACATATAATTCCAATGCTTGAATTCTGTTTGCCTACACCTTCCAAGTTCACAAATACACACTCACACAGAACTTCAAGGGACAAAACAGTAAGGAATGCGGGAAGAAGGGAAGAGTATTTAACTCTCCTTTCCTCTGGGAAACAGATGTCCTAGAATTACGGCAACTGGGCCATAGATCAGTCCAGGAGTTCTAGGCAACTTCAGGGGTATAAATGTCCTGTGCCACCCATGTTCAACTATAAAACACAGGTGTAGTTCCAGTTCCTCAAAGGACAATGGTGAGGTCAAGCAATTTTATATACACAAGACCTCTATAACAGTGCCTGGCAAAACGGAAGCACCGTAAAAGCCTGTGCTGCTCTGGTATCCTCACTGCATTACTACTACGACACCCACTGCCACCTCTAACACTATCACAACTAGAGATACCATGCCCATCATTCTAACCACCGCTACTTCTGAGAAGAACAAACAGGAAACAGACAGTCCCTCCCTCATGGGACCATTTTCCAAAGCGAAGAACACTTGCCAATCTGACCTTGGAGGCGCAGAGGGAAAAAGACAGAAGAACCACACCGGCGGGGACCGGGACAGGGATGGGGACATTTGGTCCATTCTGTGCTCCTTCACTGACACCCTTTGGTTACCATTCTGGACCCAAAGCCCGTCCAAGCCCCAGTGGTGCCACACCCAGTCAGCTCTGTCTGCAGTGTAAAACTACTCCTCCCTGTCTCACTGACACTATTTATAAAAACTGCTCACGTCTTTAAAATAGACTCTTCACATGCCTCCATTCAGAATTACTTACCCAGAATACACTAGAATATTTTTATGGGAGTTAGGTAATAGAAGGGAATGTTATAAATGTATTCAATTCAAATATTTAATAATGGAAAATAAAAATAAGAATCTTTAGTACAAATAAAAATAGCTATTTTTAAAACACACAAAGTTAGGAGGAAAAGAGAACCGCTGCACACAGGAGCTCTCCCGAAGGAAGGAGGTCGTGTTTTAGCAGACAAGGCCCCAGCGTCTTCTGGCTGTGGTTCTGGGACACACACACAGACACCTGCCCTGGGCCAGGCCACCAGACTGTGTTCTGAAGAACTCGACACCAGCACTGAAAGCAGAGCCAACGCTGTAAACAGGAGGCCCCAGAGTCATAAATCAGCAGTCAGCACACAGGAGCCAAAGCCCAGGGAGAGAGTAGAGCAGAACTCTGACCCACGCCCACAGAGGCACTGAGCAGCTCTGGCTGGGCTCTCATTCCCAGACGTCCCGACCAGCCCTGAGGAGCCTCCCGTGCCTCTCCACAGAGGTCTGAGACTGTCTCCAGCGCTCTTATCAAGTTAGTTCTCCTCCACTGGGCCATCCCAGGGATGACCCTGTGGGTCCTAAACCAAGCTGGCATGATCAGGTAATGCATGAACCAATCACCAGCGTGAGGTCCGTTCTTGCCTCTTTGTTAGAAAGACTGAAATCGTATTTACAGCACAACACAGGCATTCCTGGACGCTCTGTGCGTAACAGCCCCAAAGTACTGCCTTGCTCCCATCAGCACAATAATTTTGTAAAAGAATTCCAAACTTCAGCACGGTACCTGCTTCTCGGGAGGAACATGGACTCCTTAATGAACACGGAACCGGACAGCAGGATGTACCAGCAGGTCCCAATGTCATCGGGACTGGAAAACAAAAGGGAACAGGATGAGATGATAATCGCAGCAACAAAAAACAAATACAACCAGGCACAGTACCCATGTTATTGACGGAACCGTAAAGAGCAGCAGTAAATACTGTAAATACACAACAGTGACACTGTTAATTACTGGGATTTTAGAAAACTATTTTATCCCTGAGGCAAGTTACTTACTGGCACAGTTAGGCGTTTTAAACTTCCTTACACCTAGAGAGTGCCTACTGGTCCAAGTTCTGTTTTAGTTTGATTTTCTGAACAGGAAATACTTTCACTTGCTTCATGAGATAAGAAATGCAACAATCAGCAGGGAGTCCTCCCACCCTCCCCTTCCTGCCAGTTTTCCACGTGGGGGGAGGCGCCTCTGAGGGCCTGTTGAAGGAGCACAGGGACTCACTCCCTGGGACAGGCAGCCCACAAAACAAACCAAGCGCTGCGCACACGCTCGCCCTCTGGCGGCAGCTCCTGGGGAGGCTCCCTCTGCTGGAAGCCGCTGTCTGGTGCATTTTCCCCCCTGCAGGGCACTCATTCCTTTCCACTGTATGGTCTTCCCTTGCTGGCTCAGGCAAACTTCTACTGACAGTCACTTCTGCCGTTTTCAACACTATGCAACTGTGTAAAAACAGTTGAAAAAACTGCAAAGCGCAGTCTTGAATGTGCAGTAGCAGTCAGCAGATGAGGCCCGGGACAGTGGAGGGGCGACAGTCCCCAGGGCCAGGCGAGGGGAGGGGATGCCGCAATCGCTCCCCTTTCTCCCTCCCTGACCACAACGCAGAGACGCGGGTGTCTCGCTGACACCGAGAATACTTAGGCACTGCACACCAAGGGCTCCCTGGGTGCTTGGAACTGTGCAGAGCATAAGGCCCTGCTTCAGTGCTGGCGGGGAAGAGGCGCCCCAAGGAAAGGGAGCTGGCCCAGTGGGGTTGCGGGGGGCCATCCTGGGTGGAAGCCCAGCAAATCGCAGACTGCAACACTGCGTGGCAAACTGTTACTGCACTTTATTTTTCTTATTATAAGAGCGTCTTTTTCTTATGTTGATGTGCCATATCTATTTCTATACATCCAGTCTGTAACTCTTTCCCAGTTATAGTTAACTTCACGTTTCTCTTTCCCCCAGCGTGTCCTAAAAATCCCCTTTGGCCCCAGGGCTCCCTCTGGCAACCCTGTGCACCCACCTGCTCCCACCTTTACCCTCCAAACTCGAACTCACTCTGCACAGTCCACTTCACTTTCTGCCTTATTAAAACTCATTAAAACTCTGCTACAGTTTTAAAAACTGGCTTTCTAAAAACCTAAGCTGTAAATAGCTTCACCTGGGTTAGCAGCTTACCCTTTAGCTTAGTTTATGATCCTTTTCGGTGTAGGCTGATGTATTTACACAGTTAGGTGTGCCAAACTAGCTGGGATACAGGCTGGGCTCATACAAAAATAAAAATTCCAACTTCTGGAAGAACATGACGGACAGATAACAGCAGCTACGGAGTCTCTCTGAGATTGCCAGCTAAGAATCAAGGAATGATGTGGTGTGAGGAGTCCTAAGCAAGGGGAGATATACTCTGCCGACCCAAGAACGAACTAAGCTGAGAGGAAACCAACTGGAAATGCAATCCCGATGCTATAACAGGAACAGATAAAATCTCAGCACGGAAGCTGGAACCCATGCCTCTGGAAGCCGTGATTTGAATTTCCTGCTGCCGCTGCTGCGTCCCAATAGTCCCAATCGGCACAGCAGGGAGAGAGCGAGCGTGAAAGCTCTGAGAGCGGGAATCAGTGAACCGAATGGAGTCGAGAGCGAGACTGGCAGGGAGCCCTGCAACAACCTGCAGTGAGTGAGAGGAACAGGGACCCTTTCATAGAGTAGGAGACACCAACAGAGGACATTCTGGGACTGGGCAGACTAGCCGGAACAGGATGCTGCAGTGACTTTAGTTGCATATTCCCCTCTCAAGTGGGATTGGTAGGGAGCACTTGGCCTGGTGACACCGCAGACTAAGATCCAGTAGGCTAGCCCAAACCAGGTCCCAGTTCCTGGTGGTGCACCCTAGCAGTGAAGCCTTCAATAGGTTAACCTGGAGGGGTGGGCCCAGCAGAGGCTACCCAGGTCTGTGTCTCCCTAGTACACTGCAGTGGGCGGGAACACCTAGCCAATGGATTCAAACAAACTGTAACAGACAAAGAGAAAAAAAAAACTGGGCCTCCTATGTACACTTGTGTGGAAGGAACAAAAAGTATGGGAAGAGGGAGCAGTAAGAAAGGGTCCTCAGTCCCCAACCCTGAGAACACTGATCCAGGAAAGGTAAATGCAAAGGAGAATGATGAAGACAGAAAACATGCAATATCAGACACAGCACCAATAGACATAAAGTGATAACTCTGGAGCCTCATAGACGAGTTCAAAAATGAAGTATTTAATGAAATAAAGCAAGAAATAAGTAGAATAGTTAGATAAATGCTAAGCACCACCCAAGAAAAAACAGATGGTGGAATGAAAGAACAGAAAAAAAGGGGAGAATTGTTTGATGGAGAAAATAGAGAAAACATAGAATACGTGAAGCAGGTTAAAAGAGATTACCAGGAAACTAAAAACTCTATTGAAAGCTGGCATAACAGCTTGAAAGAAACTAAGGACAGATTATCTGAACTGGAGGACAGATTTGTAAGGTGGGAGCATGAAATGAAAAACTTCTTAAAAATAACAAGAAAACAAACAGCAATAATACAAAGGCTAGAAGATGATAAAAGGATCTATAACTTAAGAATTAAGAATATAAAAGAAGGAGGGACACAAACAAATGAACTACAAAAGCTATTCAGAGAAATAATCCAGGAGAATTTCCCTAATTTAGCAAAAGGTAAAGATACTCAGATGTATGAGGCATACAGAACCCCAGCCACCTACAACCCAAACAGAGCTACACCCAGGCATATAATAAACAAAATTCCAGAAATCCAATATAAGAACAGAATATTAAAAGCCAGCAGATCACTTACAAGGGAACACCCATCAGAATTACAGCACACTTCTCGGCACAAACCATCAAATCATAAAGAGCATGGGGGGAAATAATTCAAGCTTTGAAAGATAATAACCTCCAGCTAAGATTGATATATCCTGCACAACTGTCCCTAGAAATTGATGGAAAAACAAGGTGCTTCCAGGATAAAGAAGAACTAGAGGAATTTGCAACCACCAATTCAACTTTACAGAGAATACTGCAGGATATTCTAAAAAAGGAAAATACCAAGATGCCAGAAACAGTGGCAGAGAGGTCACAATGAATGGAGCAGAAAGTGAAATGAAGAAGACAAACTGACAACTAATGACAGAAAAAGAGCTCAACAAAAATGAGGCAGAGAAGGTTGGATGGTAGGAACAGCTATTTCGGAGAAAACAAGACATCATAATAGGTAGTGCTGATTTAATATCATCTTGTTTTGAAGTCCCATCAAGCTTTTGTTCTTCTGTCTCTATCAGTCTAACATGTTGTATCTTATTGGATTTTATTATATGTGATAATATAAACAAAAACTTTTATAGACAAGGAGATTATACAGAAACCATTGTTCATTTTCTGTTACTTGATTCTAAATACCCTGTAATACTGTCTTTCTCTTGAATGGTTTTACATTGTCTTGTTATGTTTGATGCTACAGTATAAGAAGTTATACTCAAAGATTTCAAAGAAAGAGATACTATGGTAACTACTTTTATGTCGGGATTATCTTGTGGTGAAACACTATTTTGCTTAAATGGTTATGTTTTGACCTGCGTGGTTTTGCTGTTATGCCCTCTTTTATCTCAATCTCCTTTTTTTTTTATTATTTACTTTTTCATTTCCTTTTAATTAAAGGAAAAATGAAAAATAGCAGGATATATTATAGTAACCCACTTTGATTTCCTGTTAACTTGATTTGAAACCCTGTATTGCTCTCACCATCTTGTTTGGACTGATTTTCCTCTATTCTGTTTTGCTTGATAGCACCAAGTTTCAAAGTATAAGCAACAACTATGAGGACAGTAAGATTCATTATGACACCCATTCTGATTGACTATTATCTTCTTTTGAAGTCCTCTAATGTCTCCAATGTTTTGGTTTTATTGGTTTTGTTCTTTACTGTTTTGTTCAATTTTATTATAATTGATGATATAGGCAATTCTTTTTAAGATAGCAAGAGGCATTATGGTAACCATTGTTGATCACCTTGTATTCTGTTTTTACATTATGTACTATGTCCATCCTTTTTGATTTGACTGACTCTGTCCTGTTATGTCACATTTGGTTTTACTCTCTTCAAGTAAAAGTGATAAGAACAGTGGGAGTAATAAAACCCAAAATGTGTAATTGTCATTATACAAAAGAGAGGAAAAGAAAGTGCTCTAAAGGACATAACTGCATGTATATTTAAATGTATAAGATAGGTAACCATATTACTGAGTTTTTTTGGGTCATTGAACAGAACTGTTTGCAGTCTCACTGTTTGAATGTCCACTCTATATGCTTTAATTTTGTAACTTGAACAACTATTTCTAAGATAACAATATGTAATCTATTAACTAGTGATTTCCTACTGTTTATTTTTTCTGAAATTCTGTATAACTTGTACCCTTTTTCTGTTTTTTTTTTTTCTTTTTTCTCCTTAAATAAAACTTAAAAAAAAATAAAAATCCCAACACAGCAATGGCTTCGCAGAGGAGAAAGGAGCTGCTCTGCCTTGCTGTCTCAGCCTAAGCCCTCATCCTGGCTCTGGGTCCTAATGCTCTGTGGGGCGCACAGGCTCCCTGCCACACCAGGCGGCCACAGGCTGCCATGAGCTACAGAAGCATTCTGGCCCACGCTGACGAGAGTCCTTTTGGTTTTCGGTAAACGGGTTCCCAAACTTTCTTAAGGACACCACAGCTTATCTACAACTCTCAACGACCGGGTGACAACACCAGCCACCATCTCCACGTCCCTTTCCACAGCGTGCTACTCCTTCCCAGAGTGGATC